GGCAAGCAAACCAAGACGGCACTAACGAACTAGTTGAATTAAGTCACTTTGAGCCAAATACCTACTATGAACTACTCCCTTTGCCAAACCGACCTTGACTTGGGAGTGGAGGCAATTGATGAGGGGCAATTTGGCCCTCCAATGACATCACACCACGTGGCATCCTAGAACCGTTGCATAACACCCCAACACCTTGTAGGCGATTACTTGTCTTAGCCAAAATGATAGAGACCTCCTCAGAACCACGTCGGGTGTGCCTCGCACACCCTATGGGTGTTTTGTCACCACCTCACCATGGCTGACTTGTAGACACCTCGTCAGGATCGAGCTAGCCACCGTATGACCGAGCTAGAAACCTTGGCGCGAAGGGCGACCACCTGTTGAGGCCTCACCAACCCAATTGAGGTCTAGGTAGCGACCTGCATGACGTGATGGCCAACCTACACCTTGGCTAGGGCCAACTTGTCAACACCTCGTGCACTGAGGTCCAGGTAGCGACTTGCATGACATGATGGTCGACTTGCACCTTGGCTAGGGCCGACCTGTCAACACCTTACGCACTTCAGAAGAGCACATTGAGGTCCAGGTAGACTTGTTCATGGGCCAAGCTCGAGCTTGGCTTTTGCCAAATTTTGAATGGGCTCTGGCCCAAAGCCCGGCTCGTGAATAGGTCTAGGTCTAGGTAGCGACCTGCACCTTGACTAGGGCTGACTTGTCAGTACCTCACGCATTTCGAGAGAGCACACTGAGGTCCAGGTAGCAACCTGCACCTCGGCTAGGGCCGATTTGTCTGTACCTCGTGCATTTCGAGAAAGCGCACTATGGTCTAGGTAGCGACCTGCATGACGTAGACACATAGTGATCGACATCCATTACATGTGGGCTATCATCTCCGAGATCACATCTCCTCACTAATGGAGCTAACTCCCGCCCCACCCACTTCGGAGGCAACTAGATAAGCTCTATCACTTTATGCGAAAGCCAACTTCAAGTGTAAAACCACTTCTTAGCGAGGCAAGCCGATAAACCACATCCTCCCGAAGATCTCAAACGTGCTATATAAAGTCCACAACAATCTACGCCTATATAAAGACATCTCATTAGTCAAAGAAGGCATGGTGATATAATTCTATTGCTCTCTCACTTTCTAGTATTCATACTCTTTATTGACCTAAGCATCAAAATGCCCACCCGAAGTAAAACACCCCAGTACTCTAATTACTACTTTCTTGTAGCTCAACCAATTGACCTCACCACTTCAACATCCGAATTGTCCTCCATGAAGGAACACCGGATCATGTACCATCAATATGATAATAGGTTTCTAATTTTGTGGGAGTTTTTTAAGTTACTAGGCTGAGTGGTTGACAATGCCTAACGAAGCTGACCATGGTTCATGGCTATGGGCTTACACTCATACAGGTCAGAACCATAGCGGCTGGACTTCATGGTGGTATCATGGAGTTCGAGCAGCTTTTACAGACTTGCATTGCATTAAGAATATCTCTGTATTTGTGTGATTTATTTCATGGGGAGATATTCCCAATGCAAGGTTACAAAAAGCTGTTAGAATGGTGTGGGATAAGCCGCTCGCTATCATGAACGCCAATTTGAAATTACAACAGATTGTAACGCAAAGTTTCTCGGTAAATCTTCTTTTTTAAAAGTGTAAGAGTAGAAGAGATGTAATGTAGCTCGAGTTGCCACACCCATTAGACTGTAAATTGCCACATAAGAAATCTGTGGATTATACTCATTTTGCCATATCAACTTCCTTTATTCAAAAAATCAAAATTGAAGACAGGTATCAAGACTGGAACATGCAACCAAAAACCCAGAAGCTATACGAAACACATACCAAGCCCATCTCTTAACAACAAGGGTTTCCATTTTAACATGTTGCAGTGCCATAGTTAAAAGTCCAAAACTGAAATTATGATGCATAATGTTTACGTAGTAAGAAGATTGTACGGTTCTTGCCTTGTGCTATTTTCTACTAACACAACATGTGATGATGTGAATACTCTATCACTAATCACTTCTTTGCACTGAATGCAGGGCTAGATGATGAAAGTCCATTGTGTTTTCATTCTTGGTGAACTTGCTGATGAATGTCGCTAGAGAACCCAGATCGACTTTGTCGCCATTATTGGATATATCATATAGTTACCAGTCAATAGTCAATATAAGATATACCAGTATGCTTGCAAGCCTGAATTACAGGTAAAATGCACACTGGGAGGAGACAGATTTTTTTTAGTTTTTTGATCTAGAATAGGAAGAGACAGGAAAAAACTATCCAGACAGATACATCACAGTACCAAACAATGAAACATTTCCAGCGATACAACTCTATTCTCAATGATGCACCTAAAAAATCTTTAAGGCAATTTGGTTTAAATGCAGGGAGCCAAAAGTATATTCTAAAAGCTAGTACCTTGGTCAGTATTTTGCAACAGTTTATATCAACAGCCTCCATGAAGGCCTAAACTGATATGATCCACACCTTATTCCTGTTCTGGTGATTGATTGTTGGGAGGCACTGTTTGGTCAAGAATTAAACTTTTACCCTACTGCCCTACATTTCTCATTCAAATATTCCATGTGTTATTTTTTTTCAACCTTAAATGTATTAAACTCAAGGTTTCTAGGAAATACCCGGGCATTTTTGCCTACCAAGTACCAAGGCATGTAGATGTAGTCCATCAACATGATGAATGGTCGCCTTCTAGGCCAGAACTAGAATATGGAAATTGTGTTCCAATAAACTGTAAGTATTGGGATGCAAGGTTAAAAACAGTCACTATCCAATGTTGGTCTCAGCTATCTGGTCTTGGAAGGGGTGGGGACCGGATGCATACCTAACCTCTGCCTTTGAATCCACGTTCTCCCACTTTTCAGCCTGAGATTTACCATTAAACCAAGCAATGGACCCTTATTGGGACGCTAGGGTGCTTACTGTAGATTCTGCTCCACAGAATGAATACCTTAAGGATGACTTTAAGATAACAGTGTTTCTTTTATAAAGCTTACCTTTTAACTCCAAAGACAAATGGTCAAGGTTCAAAATATTGATACGTCCGATACGCCGGTAAATCGATACAGTGTTTCAAGCCTTTTTTTTATTTTTTTTGCAACCGGTTTAGGTCTCCTCTACCCCCTGAACCGGTCAGACCTCTGATACGCCCACAGTAGGGGCATATCAGAGGGGTCCCAGAACGATATGTATCGGCCAATACAGGCCAATACGTGTCGATACTTTGAACCTTGCAAATGGTGTGGTCTAAGGCCATTGATAGAAAAATATCATTGCCTGAAACAGGGTGGTTTCTGTTAAAAAGAACCATGAAGTTCTTAACAGTGCAGCTGCATGAATGATAGGGAAATTGAGGTCTTGGGGGGACTTTTGAATCAAATTCAGCAAGTTAAACACAGTAGCAGAATAAGAGAAGATGGGAGCGGAGAAGATCAGGGTGCTTCTTGAGTAAATCCTTCTTTTTAAAGCTAGACTAGAAAATCACCTTTAATGGCTTTATGAGTAAGAGGATATGGAATCCTAACTTCCTAAGGTACCAACATACCATCTAAAATTGCTTTCTCTGTTTGAACTTTGAACTGCAACATTGGAGAAATATTTCACTATTCATAAACAATTGGCATGAGGAATGGTTGTTGATGACATGTTTTTTCCTTTCTTTAAAACTGCAAGGGAGTCAATCAACAACTTATTTTTACATTGCCAAGTTTCCTCTCAGATATGAGCTGTGGTCTTAAGACACTTTCAGCCGGAGGGGAAAGCATTGGAGAAATGCTCCACTATTGATCAACTATTGGCAATAGGAATGGTTGCAGATGATATATTGTCCTTTTTGTAGAACTACAAGGGAGTTGGTGAACCACTTACTTTTACACTGCCCAGTTTCCTCTGAGATATGGGTGGTGGTCTTAGACACATTCAACTGGAAGGGATGCTTCCCAGATGTTTCTTAGGAGTTGGGGGACTGAGGGTCTAGGTAGGCAAGGGAAAATTGTATGGGCTATGTGGTATGGTTAAATTTGCTGTCCTTTGGCACAATTGGAGGGAAAGAAATGCACAACGTTGTGGAGGCGGAGATTATTGTTGGAAGGATTAAAGGATTGCAATGTTCCTGGTTACATGCCCATAAAAAATTTAAAGGATTCAATTATCAAAAAAAAAAATTAAAGGATTCCACATAAAATTTTTTTATATGGATACGCTATTCATCAGTCAAAATACTTCACAAGGGCTGTTGGTAGTCCCAATGTACGAGTCCTAGTGTACATGGGTGCTACTGTAAATTTCTGATTTTGTTAATGAATTACTTTACTTTCTCAATAAAAAAGGTTCCAATATAGTTAAGTAAATGGATACTATTAAAAATACAGCATAATTATGAAATTTAATCATGAGTCATGCTAAATATGAACCCTCAATATAGAACCGATCAAAGAAACAAATCCTTAATACATAGAACCAGCTCCACATCAATGACACTTTTCTCCAGATAAAAAGCAAAACCCTCTAAATGTACCTCCTATTCATGACATGCAATATATGTCCTTTACACTAGTATAATATAGATAAAAGATTTACTAACTAGGTAACGTAGAAACAATATGCTTAATATATGGCCATTGACTTCTTAGTCCCAATACACTCTGTAGGGCTCCTTTTCAATCGCCTCATCTTCATGCAGTTAATACTTTTAACTGCTGTGCTTAATAAAATTTCCAAACACACTGACGGGAAAGCAGCCAAAGTTAATACTTCTACTTAGAAAAACCAACTGATGGTCGCTCAGTTCAGTTGGTGAGTTCTCTTGCTAGTTGTGGCGGAGACTTGGGATCAGATCCCACTGTCAACAAGGTTGGAGGGGGTTATGGGTTTGGGGAATGGACTACCCCCAGTTGTGTACCAAAAAATAAAATAAAATAAAAACTTCTACTTGGAAAATTCTAATTCATGATTTAATGTCCTCTATTTGCAATAACTTGTATATTGCTTATTGTAAAAGAGCATCTGAAGTCTGAACATAGATTTTCAATAAAAAAATTAAAACAACTATGCAAGCCTTTTCTTCTATCGGCACTGACTCACTGAGGGCAGTTGTTTTCTTGATAACACTTACAACACTTGCAATTGTTCTGTTTTTCTATTCCTCCTCTCTGTACTTGGGTCCTAGAGAACTGAGAAACAATGGCATCTCATTATCTCAGCAAAAGAAAAAACTAACCCATTCTGAGATTCTGAGAACCAGTTCCAATTCGTAAATAGTTCCATAACCTAAATCTATCAAAGTATGGAAAAATCCACTTCAAAGAACACATTTGATACAAACTTTTGACTAACAATAAAAAAGATAAAAAAGCATGCGAGAGATGGATTAAATAAATAACCGGATAAAGATCATACACGATTCTTGATGATTCGTCGCCTCGCCAGGAATCTCGCGATCGGCGGCGTGAGAGCGATAGTGATCGGAATCCTGACGGGCAACAAAGCTTTATTACATAGAATAGCCAAAGCAAGAGCTCCGCCACTAGAAGCCGCGAGCTCAGCAGTGCGGTTCTTCTTCGTCATCTGTTGATCAGTCGAGATGGGTAGTTCCATTCTTTCTTCTTCTAAGAACCCATCCGATGTTCCGGATTCAGAAAAAGAGGTTTCCACTTTTTCCTGTTCTTCTTCTTTGGAGATGTGGGAGATACCCACTTTGCTGAGGACAGATTCAACGTCGACGTTTTTCTTGATTGCAACGTAAAGACCAGTAATGGAGGCAGCGGAGACGGAGAAGTGGACGCCCAAAGCCACCTTGCCATACTTCTTCATCAGTTCACGCAATCGACCTGTGAAAGCCATTTAACCAGAGATTGACCTTTGGATTAAGCTCGGAAGGCTACGCCGTTATAATTTCAGGGGAGGAACCCAAAAAATTGCACACAAGCGCACAGAAACGGGGAAAAGCAGAAAGTCAGGCAGAGAGGCTTTTTGTTTAGGGTTCTTGTTTGCGAAAAACGATTTTAGACATATAAACAGAAATGACCATCTTTTGTCGGTTTAGAAATCTGCTCGGACCCGCATTATCTAGCCGCCCGTCACGGAAATTTCCAGGCCCGGGATAGGGCTGTCAATGGATCGAAGATGGATCCGAACCGATTGGACCGGTTCTGGTTTCAAGAACTGGAACCGACGGGTCAGTTCCAGGTCCTAATACAGTGCCCGATTATTATCGGTTCGGAACCAGTTTCACCTAGTTCCGAGCCAATTTAAATCCGATCCAAGCTATATTCATATAATACATATACATACATACACATATATGTATATAAATAAATTATATATAATATTTAATATATATTAAACATATTCATTTATTTATTATAATTGGGCTCGTTGGATCAGACCTGATTGTCCAGAGAACTGATTGGCTCAGTTTTGTATCTAAAATTTACAAACCCTGTCACGTCCAATTCAATTCCGGGTGCTCAATATTTCCTATCAGGTCGGTTCCAGTTCTAGCTGGTCCCAGCCCAAACTTGACCCGTTAACAGCTCTACCTGGGCTCAAGGCATTTCTTTAGGCTGTTTGGAAAGAGTACAAATGCAAATATATATAGTGTAAATACATATAATATAATACAAAATATAAGGTTTTTACCCTCTACATATTTGTATTTGTACTCCTTCCAAATAGAGCCTTAGGCTATGTTTGGTTGCAGTGCAATTTTAATTGTGTTAGTATAAATGTATGAGAGTCCAAATGATAAAAATACAAATTTTCATTTAATTTTGTTTTGGATTTTATTTTATTCTGCTTCATGTCTTAATTTACTTCATTTTTACTGCAGTCAAATAAAATAGGCTAAAATTTGATACAAAAATAAGTCAAAATTTACACTAAAATCATTTGCACCACTATAATTTTGCATCAGTGCAAATCTATTTGCATTACAACCAAACACAACATTAAGACCAAAATAGTCTGGACTTTGGATTTTCATATACGCCCATATACAATGTTTTAAAACCGACCTAGAACCGGAACCGCACTGGTCGTTGGTTTTCAAGTTAGTAGTTCGTCTGACCAAACGGTCCATTCCAAACTAAAAAAATAAAAAATAAAGATTAAAACAGTAATTAAAATGAAAAAATGGCCAAAAACCATTGTACAAGTTTGAAAAGTTGATGGTTTGACTGCCAGATTAATAGGTTGTTGACCAAGTCAATGATTTTTTATATGAGTTAAGGGCGAAATGGAACTGATTTCCTGGATGGTTTCTTAGGTTGAATGGTCCGACTGCCCAAATCAAATGATGGTTCAAAAACAATGTCCATATATAATTAAACTACTAAAAGGCTCAATTTAGAAAGAGTATAAATGCAAATTTATAGTATAAATACATGCAAAATAATATAAAATACAAGGTTTTGAACTTCTCATATTTATAAAATATAAATACAAATATATAGTGTAAAACCTTGTATTTTGTATGTATTTATACTGTACATATTTATATTTATACTATTTTTAAACTGAGACTAAATCTCATTTTGTGTTAGATTAGAATTATCTCAAGTTAAACAATATTCTGTGAGAAAAATATTAATGTACACATCACATGATATATTAAGCATTTTTTAAATGGCAAAAATACCTTTTTGAATGAGTTCACCCTTAACTTCGTTATTTCACAATGTCACTAGACCTGTCAACAATTTTACACCTTTCTCAGTTTTAAAATACAAAATGAAGAAGATAAGGGCAAAATCATCTAATAAGTTGATTTGAAAATGTCCAAACATATATATTCTCTGTATCGGTGGACCCTGAAATATATGGATATATGGATACACTGATTCATAAAAGAGTGAGAGCTTTAACAACAACCCTCTAATACCTACCCATATAACTTGTAATAATTAGGGCGGGGGGGATTTGGTGCAAATTGAGCCAGGTCTAATTACTCCACTCTAGATCTCTTATCCACAAACTGTTCCTACATCCTTACCCACAAAATATGATTGCCATGCATTATGAAATATGAATATCTCCCAGATGTGAAGAGTTTACATCTCCGCCCCACAACGTCCCACATCACATCCTGCCATGTATTAGGAATATCTCCTGATGATAATATCAAAACTGATGATATCATTATTGAGAGATATTTCCAATACACAGTGGGGATGTACTGTGGGACGTTATGGGGCGGCCCTTGTGGGGTGGAGATGTGAATTCAGATGTGAAAACAGTTTAAAGCTCAAATTACTCTGATAATCCTATTTCTATGAAGACGTGGCTCAGGGCGACCTGCCCCGGCCCACTATCATCCCTAAGACTGGTGGTGTAGAACATGGCATAAAGAGCAAAGTGGAGCATATGTTCCATGCTTTTAGGAATGGGAAGGCGACCTGACAACTGATCATGTAGCAAATTTGGGCCACATGTATGTATTTATAAGCATTAAAAGCAATGTTCTGCATCTGGAATGGCTCACAACCCGCCAGAGATCGGTAGTATTGATTCTGTTTGATGATGCCACTGAGTCGGTTGGTCGCCATAATTCAGAGTTGGCTTTGTAAGGAAAATCTATGATGCCAGAAAGAGATGATATTGGAAAGGTTTTGACCAATCACAACCGCATGAGTCTTGGTGAAAACCACCTAAGTGATATCTATGATGGCCATAAAGACATGATACTAGAAAGGTTTTGACCAATCACAACCCCATGAGTTTTGATGAAAACCTACCTACCTGATTGTACTTTTATGATGTCTGTTGATTAAGTTTTTCCCCTATCATGTCTTTTTGGCATTATAATTGAACAAAAGCCAAAAATGAAAAGTACAAATTCTAAGCTATTTCTTTCTTTTCCATTATTTTTTAAAGTTAAATTATAAGCGATTTCAACTACTGACCCCTATAAACAGTGAGTTTTTAACTGAAAAAGGAGATAAGTCCTTAAAATGAGGAATGCCAAATGCAGCTTAAGTCTTTCAAGTTCAGCCACTTCAGCTATTATTTAACAGTCCCTAAATTATATAATATATCATTCCATATAGTTTAAGTATAAAAAAATTGCATTATGGAAATTAAGTAACCTATAAACTAATTTCAATGTGGATTAAATATTTTAAACATAGAAGCCCATAAAAGCATAAAAACATAATAAATAATTATAGATATAATTGTTGTATGTCTCATTTATTTTATAATGTGTAACTTGTAAAATTAAGAAAAAGTGATTTTTGTCCAAAAATTGTCATATACTGAGAAAATGAATTCAGAAAGAATACAAGGGAAATCTATCATCCTTTTGACTTTGTTGAACAAAGGGTAGTCCTAGTTTTATTTTCTCTCGAAGTCTCACCATTTTGGTGCAATTTCTTATCCTAGGCTTCCTAGCCTTTAAGAACCTGATTGAACAATCTTTTTAGGCTGGATTGGCCCAATCAGGTCTGCAAATGGTATCTAATCTAACCAAGTTACCAGTAATCTCTGCACGAACAAGCCCCATCCTTGAAACAATGAAACCTACTTCGATCTCTCACAACAATCTCTCGCCTGTACACCTTTGATACCAGCTTCATCACGGTGTGACAGTCCCTGCAAACCCTCAAATTCTTGACAATTTTGATGACGCTTTCCCCACTCAATCTTGACATCCCAAATGCTAATGCAAGCTTCTCGCTGTGCCTAGAGATTGCATCTTCTTTTTCTTCCTCTTCTATATCATGCAGAACGCCCCTGACCTCCGGCATGTAACCTCCTTCAATCTTAAGTCTCAACATCATCTCCCCAAGCTTCTGATAAGCCTCCATTGTAACTCCGGCCGGTCCTTCTCCCACCACAAAACTGTACATGGCCTTGTGAACCTGAATCATGCTCCAACCTGGTGTCTTCTTAATCTTCCGATCAGTCATTGATCTCCTCACTGCGGCAACATCCTTCCATTTCCCAGCCACAGCATAAATGTTCGACAACAGAATATGGTCGCTAGAGTTGTCAGGGTCGAGCGCCGAGAGGCGTTGCTTCACTTTCTCTGCTAATTTGACATTCCCATGAATACTACACGCCCCAAGAAGAGTCCGCCAAATAACGGCGTTTGGCTCAATTGGCATTCTAGTTATGAAATCGTAAGCCTTGTTCAACAGTCCCGCCCTGCCATACAGATCGACCATACAACCATAATGCTCGATTGATGGCTCCATCTCATATTTCTCAATCATCTTGTTGAAATACTCGCATCCCTGTAAGATCAATCCGGCATGACTGCAAGCATACAGGATCAAAATGAAAGTAATTCCATCAGGTCTCGTTCCGGACTTCTCCATCTCGTGGAAATATTTTATCGCTTCCTCTCCGTAACCATGCATTGCAAACCCTGCCATCATTGAAGTCCAAGAAATTATATTCTTTTCCATCATCCGATCAAAGACCAAGCGAGCCATATCAACATTCCCACATTTTGTGTAGGTGTCGAGGAGAGCATTACTAACAGAAACGATTTCAATAAAACCCGCTTTCTCTAAGTAGCCATGCAAGATTTTTCCAAATTCGAATGCACCCGACTGTGCACACGCAGAGAGAACCCCGGTCAAGCTCACCTCGTTGGGTCTAATCCCAACTCGCTGCAACTCACGGAAAAAGCCAAAAGCCTCATCAAAACAACCATTATGAGCAAACCCAACAATCATGGTACTCCAGGAGACCTGGTCTTTCATAGGCATCTCGGCAAATGTTCTTCTCGCGAGCTCCAGCTCTCCGGCTTTCGTGTACCCAGCAAGCATGACATTCCAAGATGTCAAATTTCGGAAAGGCATCCTCTTAAACATAAGCTTCGCGCCCGTGATGTCGCCGCACCTGAAACAGGCAGTGACAATTGCATTCCAAGCTACAACATTTGGTTGGGGCAAATCGTCAAACGCCTTCCTCGCTGAGACGATGCACCCGCATTCGGCGTACATGCTAACGAGAGTCGTTCGAACGAAGAGATGGGTGTCGAGGCCATGAATGAGGGCTTGGCAATGAAGTTGAGTTCCTGAAGAAAGGGACCTGTAATTGGCAGCGGCTTTAAGAATGAAAGCAAAGGTAAAGCTATCAGGGGTGGGTGTCGATCTCCTACGCATTTCAATGTAGGTAAGAAGGGACTGTTGAGGGGTTTCGGATTCAGAGAGTCCTCGGACAAGGGTGTTATACATGAAAACGTCCGGAGAGGAGAAGTGGAGCAAGAGACGGCGAGCGTAGTCAAGAGCATTGGCGATGGAAACGGCAGACAGGAGGATAAACTTTCCGGCGATGAAGGGGTCATTATCAAGTCCGGTTTTAGACGCATAGGCGTGGAGTTGTTTGAGGGTTTTAAGGGTTCTGCAATCTCTCAATGCGGAGAAGAAGAGTTGTTCAGTGCAGCTCATTCCCCTTTCGAAACCATTGCCATAGCAGTCGTTTCATTACGTGAGAGAGGAAATTCCCCTGATCCCATTTTCCATTTCCATCACCCTCGTCCGCCGAAGACGAACAGAATATACTTATATACACGCATTTTCCTGGGCCGGGCCTAGGCCTTTGTTTGCGGGCCTGGGCCCTTGCACATAGAAAAATCTTAAAACCCATTATTTGAATGTCACACCCTCGTTCGTTTCTATCCGGGTAAATACACCTATCCGGAGAAATGTTTCTTAAGAAATGAGAAATACTTATTTGAATACTGCACTTATCTTATCATCATTTTTTATATAATGACCATTTTATCTATAAAACAATTATTATTGAATGTTCCATCATGCATTAATAATTTTCCATGTGAACAAAAAAATTATTTGCCCATAGGAGAGTATTATTTATTCAGGTAAATAAATTATTTGAAAATTTATTTCTTTTACATAAGACTAATTAATATCAAGGCACAAAGGCTAATTTATTTCTTTTCTGTGAAGACCCACCAATTTATCCACTCCCATTTAACACCCACGATTGGTGAATATAAGGCGACACAAGACCAAACTCACACCGTCCACGTAGTCTTTATAGCCTTGCATTGAGAATATCTCCATACTTTTTTTAATGGAAAGATATTCTCAATGCGGACTATATATACAGATTTCCATTTAATGAATTCATGGAGGATAAAATCATCAAGACATTTTTTTTTTTAATTTTTATCATCAAGACATGTTACTTGGTTCAGTAAGACCAATAAGAAGTGCAAAATATATTACCACACCCGGTTCGATTTTACTAGCGTTTGATAAGCATGTAATTTTACATCGAAAATCAGTGTAAAATTACATTTTAGATAATGGATGTATACATTTTGATTTAAATTTAACACCGCTCGCTCTGTTTCTCTTCTTCTCTCTCGTTCGCTCGTCCTCTCTCTCTCTCTTCTCTCTTCTTCTTCTTCTTCTCCTTCTCTCTCGCTTGCTCTCTCTCTCTTCTCCTTCTTTCTTCTTCTTCTCCTTCTCTCTCACTCGCTCTCTCTCTCTCTTCTCCTTCTCTTTTCTTCTTCCCCCTTTTTTCTCTTTCCGTCACTGCCGCAGTTGCAGTGGCAGATCTGAATCCACCTCCGAAGGGAGAGCCGGAGAGGACCCAGAAGGGAAAAATAAAGGTGCTAGTCAACATCGGTGTAAATCCATCCCAACCGAACAGATACGCATTCATCTCGCAGCCGATAGCCATAAATCTGTTTCTGGTATCGGAGGCTCCGTACGCATTTGCAAATCTAGCCCAAGCGAAGGTATTCCCCTGCCAGTACTTGTCCTCACTTCCCTGCGTCTCTCTCTCTCTCTCTCACTCTCTGCTGCTGGTCCTTAGACATAAATCTGTTTCTGGTATCGGAGGCTCTATACGCATTTGCAAATCTAGCCCAAGCGAGGGTATTCCCCTGCCAGTATTTGTCCTCACTTCCCTCCGTCTCTCTCTCTCTCTCTCTCTCTCTCTCTCTCTTTCTCTCACTCTCTGCTGCTGGTCCTTAGGCATAAATCTGTTTCTGGTATCGGAGGCTCTGTACGCATGTGCAGTGGCTTCCCTTCTCTGAAATCCAACTCTTCTAGCTCTAATCTAAACCACAGAGAGATGACCAAACTCGTTGACAGGTTGGGCTTTGGTCACCGTTCCTCCAACGGATCCACCATTGGCCTTATCTAGTCGTTGATCAGAGATGCCTTCGCCTCCTACACCAGTTCACCCCTTTTTTCACTCCAAACGCGTATAAAGTATTCACCGATGTTTCACACTGTTCTAACGTAGAAGAGTGTAAAAGGTGCATTCGGCCGGTTCTGGATTTACACCGACACATTTGACGGTTCTGGATTTACACCGATGGACTTTTGTATTTACACCTCTACCAAATGCAGCCTAAGTAAATTGCTAACCTCACTTATGATAATTGATAATTGCAATCACCTCCCTCACCTTTCTGACACTTTTTTAAAAAAATATATAAAAATATCTAAAATATTCATACAATTACTTTTGAAATTGATTTATTTTTCAAATTTACCTTTCATATCAATCACTCAAACTTAAAGCTGCAACTTTAAATTCTTCCTTTTTTTATCATTCATAAATTTGTATAATTTTTTTTTGTATAAACCAACATCAATAATAACTGTATGGGTATTTTAAATATTTTCGTGACTCTTATTGGAGGATTCTAACAAAGGGATCTACTTGCAACTGTATAAAAAATTCGGGGGAGGTGATTGCAATTACCAAACTCCAGGGCAGGTTTCAGCAATTTACCCTTTAGATTAATATAGATTTCCCTCTCATATCCTATTTATGTACAAGGTCACTTTTACCAAATATTTTTTTCTATGTTCCCTTCCACTGCTTTCTCATTTTCAGAAATTGTTCTTTGATGAACATATCTTCTTTTGTTCACTATTTCAGATAGAGAACTGTAATCATAATCATAGTTCCAGACCTATTTAGGGAATAACCAGGTGCCCAATAGATTCATCCATACTCCAGAACTGATTAATTTTTTTCTTTTTTTTTTGGAGTTTGGAAAGTCAGCTGGATCAAATTTATGAACAGTTAACTTTTGAGATTGAATTGATTACACAACTTCATAAATGCAATTCTATTTGAGGTAGCAGCTTCTCTTTTCCTAATTTAGCAAAACCTTGTTTAATAATTCCAACAAAGTATGGAAATCCGCAGCCCCTCCAAAGCTGCTTTTTATTATGGGTGGCAATGTCGGGTAAATGTTTGACAGCGGAGGTTTTGTCCAGAAGAGGGACGAGTGTGCTGCGTAGCAAGTGCATTATGTGTGGGGAAGCATCTGACTTAGAACATTTACTGATCCATTGCAGAGTTGCTCGCCTCCTTTGGACAAAGTTTTTGGAGCTGTTTGAAGCTCAGTTTTGTTTCCCAGAAAAAGAAAATGTGCTAGCAGTGCTTCAGAGTTGGCATCTGAAAGGGCTCTCGAAAGAAGGCAAGGTAATTTGGAGAGCAGGTCCAGCTTTAGTAATCTGGACAATATAGACAGAAAGAAACAAAAGAACATTTGAAAATTTGTATGTTTCAGAGGATAATTTATGTAAAGGTTTTTGGGGTAGGATGTATTCTTGGGTAGGGTCTCATAATCTGTTCAGGAATAGACCTTATAGCTCGTTTTGTAATGCTGGAGCTCTTTTTGTATCTATGCATACTGAGTAATCTTTTAGTTTGATGTACAGCTTTTGATTTGGGCACTGCACAGCTCCTTGTGCTGATTTGGTTAATGCTTTTTGCCTAATATATTACTTTACCTTTATCTCAATAATTCCAATAAAGTACCTTAGAATCCAGCATTAACTTCTTGTTGCTATGGGCACCTATGACTGCCAACAGCCTAGCTGACTCTCTAGTCAATGCTGGAGTTAATGGAGAGGAGCTGGCTTGGGTAATGTCAGGTTCAAGGATAGAAGATCTGTAACTCTGCTTTTCTGTTATTCTTTCGAGTAAAAATATGGTCAGCCACTCAGCCTTTGGTTCTTCGTTTGCACAGGTCCCTTCTTCCAACTGTTGGAAGCTTTGGGTAGTTCTTTTCACTTCATTAGGGCAGATAGGTCGGGTTTGCAATCTAACCCGCTCCATTGGCACTCCTATAATTTTCTGGTTTTCCATCCTATAACAACTTTTCAATTAAAATAATAATTAAGGAAAGGGTTAACATCATTTTGGACAAACTTTCCCCCAGTAATTTTACAGAACCATTACAATTTCCTTGATGAAAGTTTTTTTACATGTATAAAATTCTAATTTGAAAAGAGAAATAAACAAAGAAAGGAAGGACAATATGTAGTTATAGGTACAACCGGATAGAATTAGGGATGCAACTTAGACAGGCCTAGGGTGAGCATAGTTAAAATTTGAAGGGGATCAACCTGAGAGACTGTTTAAATTCTTCATTTTTTTTTGGTAAAAAGAGATTCTCATTAAACCATAGGATCAGAATACAGAAATCATTACAACAAGGTTTTTAAAACTAAACCAGACAACGAACTGTTCAGGGGTCCAGTTCCCGGGTCGAATGGCCTGACCGTTCAAACTGAACGGATGGCCCATGCTGACAAAAGAAATAAAAAATTAAAAAATGGCCAAAAACCGCTGTATGGTTCGAATGGTTCAACTGCCCGGGTCAGCGGTTTGCTGACCAAATCAACAGTTTTGGCCAAAAAGATGGTTCTGGGGTAAAATGGAACCAATCAGGTGACCAGTTCCCAGTTTTTCCGGTCCAGTCCGGTTTTGAAAACCATGCATTACAATTAACCACACCAACTAACTAAAGGAAAAGGAAAGGAAAAAAAAAGAAAAACAACCTCCATTAAGCGCCAATAACCAATATGGAGCATTTTTAAGATTTTACTAAAAGAAAAAATAGAGAAGAGATCAAAGAACCCCCAACAGAACAGAAAATGAGAGTTACCCCACTGCCACTCTCCCCCAATACAACAAAGAACCCCCAACATGGCAACACCCAAATAGAGTATAAAATCGTGATTTACTAGTGATGCTTAGTGAAATTAACTTCAGCAGTCACATGGTCTCACACAATTATCAATATCATTCCATAATTAGTTTCACTTATATTCTATTCTAGGCTGCTTTTCAAGACTGACCAGTACCTTCATAGTGCAGGCCTCAAACAAGGAAACTATAGTAATTCCTGTAACTGCTTTCTGTTGCACAAATCATTGACTGAAAGTTATGTAGGTAATTTTAATGCAGATATTCCAGATGCTAAAGTTCAGTTCAACCATTGAAGCTGAAGTAGGGGTAGGTGTTCTTAAAGATGTATAATTTACAGCAAGAATTTGGGCTTTTTAAAAGAAAGGGTAAGATTTCAGTTCAAAGTCTATTTCGTGTTTAAATGTGGAAGTGTCCTTCACTTTTGTCAATGATATGAGGGGCCTGTACAATATCAAATGCTGCAAATAATCTTGGTTAATGGTAAAGCGCTGGACTGTTCTAGCATTATTTTGGAAAGTAAAATGGAAACTCTATAAGAACTTCTCCTGCATATGCTAGTTTTGGTAGATTCCAGAGTGAAAACAATGCGAGAGTTTAGAAACAAGACCTCAAAGAAATGCATTCAGAGAATAGATATTTATAGAGTCACAGGACCTAATGACCCCAACTTGTCTAACTGACCTCCAGTTGTCCAATTGACTAACAACTTGTTCAATCTAGAAGATTCCTTGCAACAGTTTTATAGCTAAGTCAGTTAAGTACAAAAATGTATTTAAGAGCTTAAAGAATTATCTTAATATTTTGAAGTCAAGTAATCTAGAATAGAAATCAAGAACTGGAATTAATAAAATAATTATAAATCATTAGCAGCTATAGTTATGGTTTTAAGATCTGAAAGACTGAACATAAGAATAGAATCAAGAAATTAAAGAAAAAAGAATAAAAAGAAAAACAAGAGACGAGAGTCGGTAGGATAGCAGTGCTAAGGGATCAAGGGGGAAGAAAGCATCAATATTTATTGGTGGTTCACATTTTTTTTTATTTTTTTATGAGTAGTGGTTCACACTAAGTTGGGTTCATGCTAATTAATTCCTATGAAGTGAAGTTGGTTAGATCTCCATCTGAGCGTTCTAGTTTTTTCTTCTTTTTTTAGGGGGGCAAAATAGAAAGGAACAATTAAAAAAAACATCAAGGATACATGAAAAAGAAAGGTGTCATATATGATCAAAAAGAGGCTGTTCATGCCAAATGATGTTTCTTGAGGTTCCCTTGATTTTGGATAAGATTTCTTTTGCATCTGAAAAAAGTGTTGCTTTGAGAATGCCATGATAACAGTTTTTTTAAGCATCTGATGATTGCCCAAAGTTCAGCTTCACAATCAGTTGTGGTGTGCATGTATCGCATCCAGAATGGTCTTGCCAGTTTTTAGCCGTCTCTTATTGGCAAAGAAATAGGTGCCACAATGTTGATTCAGTTTTACCTCTCCCTTGAAGTTTATTTAAAAAGCATCTGTACACCTGACATTTTCTTATTATTTATATAATAATAATAATAATCAACAAAGAAGAATAGGAAGACGAGAAAAATCATAGTCACGTCTTCCTTCTTGAGGCCTGGATTTGAGTAACATCAATCTTTGATGTGAGGACCTTAATAGGATTGTGCCACAAAGAAAGTTCTTAACAGTCTGTTCAAGATTGTATAATGTCACCATATATATATATATATATATATATATTCTCTATTTCTTCATCAGTCCCTTAAAAAATTTAAAAAAAGGAATATATTAAAAATATATCTGAAGCATTCTTACTTCCATTCTAATACTTTCTTAAAACAAAACCATTGACAACTCAACTCAGCGTTGTCCCAAATATTTGGTATTCCACTCTATCTAAAAAAACTGAATTTATATATAATAAAAAAAGAAATTACATTTTTTTTTTAAAAACAGACACCAGAAACATTTATAAAACAGAATAAATAACGGGCGCTAGAAAGAATATCCAAATGTAAAACCATAATGGAAACAGACAAACACCCTAAAGTTCATCTTATCCAATTATCAAAGAAGTGTTCATTTAATGAGGTATCTCACACATGAAGTAGATTGGTCCTATACTACTTTTACATCCATTGTTTTTACTAAATGGATTAGGTCCTGCTCAGGCATGCCAAAATTGAATACAGTAGCATAGTGTTAATCCTTGCCCAGTGCTAGGGGTTTGTGTTTGACTATAAAGGAGAAACAAGTGTTGGATTTCAGTAATTTAATGGTAAAAATAATATTGCAAACATTATGGATGATCAGATGTTTTGAGGTTGCAAGGACTGCTATTGTGGAGTTAAAACTAATCTGATTTGCTCAGAACAACAGTCTAAGATTGTAAATGACCATCTTCCTTCTTTCTTTCTTTCTTTTGGGGTCTGATTGTACAGGGCTCATATTGTTGTGTTTAACTATAAAAATTGGGTCTGATCATAGTTTTCAAGGCACCAAGGTGAGGCTGGGCGTCAGGGGGGCGTCTAGGCGTCGCCTAGGCAATGGACTTTTTTATATAGAAAATATAGATCCTAGGGTAGTTCCCTAGGTACCATAGCTATATTTCCTTAATAATTAGTCATAATTTTCATAAGAAAAGCATAGAGTTCATGTTAAAGTATAGAAAATCAACAAATTCATGAGAAGAAAAAAAAAGAAGGAAAAGAAAATTCAAAAAATATAGGGTCTGAACCCTTATTTTTGTTATAGGAAAAGAAGAAAAGATAGGGTCTGAACCCTTATTCAAAAAATATAGTAGTAGTAGAAAATTAGACAAAATTTTAAGTTCTTCCTTACTTATTGGTTCAGGTTTTAAAGTCTTTTAGGGTTCAATACAGCATTTAGCAATGTTTGTATTGATTAAATCCTAACAAATAAGAAAATAATAAAAACAAATTAGTATATAAATCACACAAAATGAGTATTTTACTTTAATAGTGCCTATTTTATAATTATAATGTCAAAAAATAAAGAATAAAAAAGTATTTTACAATACATAGTACAAAACTGCTAGGCGATTATGCAAGGCAAGCCTCAAAGGGTGCCTTGTCGCCTAGAGGTGTGTCAAGTGTCAAATGTGAGACAGAAATTAGAGTTGCAATGGAATTTGTCTTGCAGCTAGCAATAAAGCACATTGAAATACAAAGGGTACAGCAGGCTTATGACGTCTACTAGGATAAACCTGGTCCTGAGAAAGCAAGCTACACTATTTACTGGAGTTGGACTCCAAGGAGTTAATAAATGCCTTGATCAACCCCTAATGTACAGTGGTCCTGCCAAAGAATTTTCAGGGATTTTTCTCAAGTCAACTGAGCTCAATTCAGTCTTCATCCACAATTCCACATTATTTGGGTTTGGCTACATGTATCCTTTCTTGCTATATGTGATTTTAAGCATAAGGTTGTACTTCTAGATTATGTAAGCATGCAGTCAAGAGTTAGATGCAAGGAATTTGTGTGCATCCAGTAAATTGAGTCACAGCAAAGTCCTTTCAATTTATCACTTACCTAATCCTTTGAAGATCCCAGACAAATTTATACTAGTCCTAGCTTTTCATCTATCTTACATTGAAAGTATCCTTAAAATAATTTTTTTCTTGGCACAATACAAATAAAAACCTTTCTAGACTACTAATTTCTTTATTTTTCCCCATTTTTTGAGGGTAGCACATAGGACCCAACAAAGCACCAAAGATGGGTTGAGGCAAAGGATTGAATAGCTACTCCAGCACCATTTCATAGCATGCATAGAAGACACAACCTGAGGCTCCACGGATTAGATTAAGGAAATATTTAACGCTTGAGGGTTCTTCTGGATTACACAGGGGGTTATTTGTTGATACTTGAAAAGGAAAGAAAGAAAGAAAGAAGAGTTTGTTTCCATCTTAAACATGCTTCAAGAGAAAACAACTGTTTATCAGGTAGCAAGTCATCTTCCAAGTTGAAACTATGGTCTAGAATAACTCTCTTGACATGGTAAGGAAATGTTAAATACCAAGCTACTTAACTTTTGGTCTGGTCTTGATATATTTAGCATTTCCTTCCAGGTAAGGCTTATTCTCCCTTCCCAAGAAAAAAAAATTGGTTTGCAACTTTAGAATTTGCTTTAAGGGGGAAAGGGTTTGTGGTAAGAAATGATTCATGGAATTGAAATAATGCTTCTAGAAAGGTGTTTATATCCTTGCAGTAAATGGGTTGTCTATTTTCAATCATTTCCTCCATAAGAACTGATCACTGTACCTTTTATTTTTGGGGAACAATTTATGTCTACCAATTGGGTCTAGTTTTTCCAAAATTTAAACCAGGTTATATATGTCCTTGTTCAGATGAGGAAATTTTAGTTGAACAAATTCTTTTGAAATAACCATTCATCAATGCTAGTTCAAATTAGTAAATGATGCTGGATTGGAGTCTCATGTTGAATAGAGTTTACAGATCAACTCAACCAAGGCTTAACCTCAACTATTTGAGGCCAGCAATAGAAGTTGCAGACCAAAATCATATTTTATTTAACTGGAAATTTTAAGAGTAAGGTAAACAAGAGAAAGGAAATCTATAAACTGGAACAATTAATCAAACAATAACACAGCTAATTAATGACATTCAGGAATAGAAATGATACATTTCACAAGGAGAACAACAAGAATAAACAATTCCACTTACTGCCAGGATTCCAGCCTAAAATGGATTCGGTGTAATCCACAGGGGTGGAGGCCAAATTAACAAGGAACTTTGTGAATAACATAGCAATGGTTCGATACTGTCATCTTCCAAGTTGAACACGCCTACATCATAATCTCCACGTACACCTTCAAAGTTGACCTCAGAATAGTCGTCAGTAAAATAGATGCAGTTCCTTCTACATTCAGGATAATCAGAGGCCGACAAAGACAAGGAGGAATTTTTACCCAAGAACAATACATGGTCACCTATGCCTTTCAACTTAACCCAATTCTGGCTACTTGAATCCAACTTGGCGACTTCGAATCGAATTGTCTTATAGGCCATATCAGGCTCCACAAGTCCGAGCTCTAGATGCCTAGTAACCAGTAAGAGCTCCCCAGATTGCTCCACCAAATAAAGTATGTCACCACCGAACAACCATAGCGTGTTGATAACTGTCACCACCGGAGAAACACCACTAACATCGCAAATTACAACCTTTCCACGTCTATCAACCGCATAGAATAGTCCCTTGTAGCATATAACGTCCTCATAGCAAGGTTGTGCATCTTCGATGAAAGTCCATCCCTCATCTCCATGTCTACAAAATGCTAATTCACCGGTTTCGTTAAGGATGGCCAAGGCGACATATTCGGAGCTGGAAGCCGGACTTGAAGATAGGATGACTTTCTTCAAGAACGAGTCCCGCATTTCCTTCAAGTTGCGAGAGTAGCAGTCACCGGAGGAAGTCTGGAGGGTATACTCTTTACCGATTCTATATACATCGAAACCCAAAACATTCGGGAACGTTGTCAATGGTGGGAGTTGAATTTGGGCCCTCGTTAGGGGATTCAAGAGACGGATCACCGGGGACTCCTCGACGACGACGAGCCAGCCTTGTGAAGACCCACAGCATCGCCTCCGACGAGACGCCTCTGGGAGCTCAAGCCAATGAATCTTGTCATCTGACAGACTGAAGAAACCACGGCAGGTGTCGTTATTCCGGGTGTTAGGAAGCATCAGCCATGGAAGTTGGCAGGGGAGGTGGTCAGGCCTCTTTGACACAGCGGATCTCCAATTTACACAAACCGCTCGGAATCGGAGATAATCGATATAAACAGTCAGCTTTCTCGACATCATCACTATCATATCCGGTGGAAGTTGGGACCAATCAACAGCCATACTTCTCTCTCTCTCTCTCGATCAGTCTAGGGTTTTTTTCTTGAATTCAAGATCATGTGTGTGAATTCAATGATCAGTTCAACTGTTTCAGTAGAATCAGCAAAAACGAAAGGAATCTCGTTAATCTTTAGCTTTTACCGAAGAGAGTGGTAATCGAACGGTAGCGTTCTCATTGAGTGAAGTACTACCAGAATCCTATCCACGTCTTCCCACTTGAACATTTTCGGTATTTACTGTTATTAATTCACGGAGAGATGTTCTCCCGAGTCCAGTCACAGTTCTTGCGGTGAGAAGAATCTTGGGAATTTTGGTCTTTAATTAGAGCCAATGACAGTCAAGACTCAAGATTTCGGATCAGCTATCGATACACGGTCCCAACATTATCCCAACAAGGAGGAAGTTATAAACACAGTCCCAATACGTCCCAATAAGCCATCCCTGCCATACATTGAGAACATCTATGAATGATAGCCATCTATGATTCACACTGTATCATAGCCATCTATGAATCAAACGATCTATATCTGTCAGTTCTCTTTTTGTTGACAAGTATACGAATCTGTGACACGTAAAAAAAAAAACCGTAATAATACGTGGATTCAGGTTCAAATGACATAAGACAAGCCACCTTCCAAGTTCCTCTTCTTCCTACGACCCACAGTGCTCTAAGAAAATTCCGCTTCAACCCTCCAACTATATATTATATTCATCATCAGCGCTTTAATCCTCCTCCTTCCTCTCCTTCCTCTCCTTCCATTTTTCTCTTATTTCTGGTAATTATTTTTTAGTTTTCTTGTCAAGAAAATGGCGGAATGGTCCCAACTGCCGCACGAATTGTTGGAGCTGATAGCGAAACAACTAACGACCTATTTCGACGTTCTCCGGTTTCGTGCCGTTTGTTCGACATGGCGATCAGCTGTGTCGCCTAGGCGGTATCGCTTACCAGGCCGATTCCCGATTCTAACCAACGAAGAGGTTACCGATACCTCTGGGGGCTTCTATCTTTCCAAGCGTTCAATCTTCCGATTGGGGTTACCGGAGAATCATCGTCAGGTCGTAGCCGGAGCAGGTTCTGACGGTTGGCTCATTAAAGTAGAAGAAGACACCCCGGAGGTTATGCATCTCTTGAATCCTCTCTCCAGAAACCAAATCAAGCCTCTACCGGCAACATTTCCCAAGGTATTGGACCTTTCAGAGATCCGAGTCTCCGAATTGGGTCAAGAATATGTTCTGCAGTACGTCGACTATCGCTCCTCGGGCGATGCCGATAATTTGTACATGGAGAAGGTCGTCTTCTCTCTCAATCCTGCTTATGGTCATGATTATATGCTCCTCACTATTCATGTTTCTGGAAAATTAGCCATGTTTAAGTCGGGAGATGAGACATGGACGATTATACAAGATCTGACTTTCCCTTACGATGATGTCATACATTTTAAAGGGAAATTCTATGCCGTTGATCACACAGGAAGAACGGTCACTGTTGATTCGTCGCCTGCTGTGACTGTAATTGCATTCCCTGTATTTGGTGGTGACAAGAAGTTTTTGGTGGAATCCGAGGGGGACCTATTGCTGGTAGATATGTACCTAAGCGTCGGCCCTGATGATGATCCCAACAATAACGAGGATGAGGATGCAATTTTTGGACACATTGATTCCTACATAATTGAGAAAACTGTTAAATTTGAGGTTTTCAAGTTAGATCCAGGCAGGCAGAAATGGGTTTCGATGAAAAGTTTGGGTGACAGGTTGCTGTTCTTGGGTGACAATTGTTCGTTTTCTGCTTCAGCTTCCGACTTCGCCGGTTGTAAAGGGAACTGCATATATTTCACCGACAACTTTTTCCATTCGAACGGAGAAGAGGATGGTGCACCATTCATGGATCATGATATAGGTGTGTTCAATTTAGAGGATGGTAGTATTGGACCATTGGCTTCTTATCCAGGATATTCCAAGTTATTTTGGCCACCTCCTTCTTGGATTGCATCGACAATGTCAGAAGTAAGTGCAGTCGGTTGGTATTTAGCTCTCTGATTTCGTTTCTGTTTCTTCCCAAATGACTCATTGCATTGAGTTTATTTGATGTTTTTGTAAGTTAAAGTTAGCTCTTCTGATTTGGGCCTTAAAATATTATCAGTATACAAATAACTTATAATTCTGCATCTAAGTACAATATGATTTCAACTTATGAATCAATAGGTCCATTGTTCAAGTCCCCATAAAACAATTTCATATTGATTTATCTCTGAGGATTATTCTCTTCTGGAATGTATCATTTTTTCTACTTTGTTTCCCATATAAACATAATAATATTGTTATGCTGTATTTGTTGGTTTATAGATATACAACAAACAAGCCAATCAATTTTCTTCATCTATAAAGGATATTGAACCTATTTGCAGCTAAAACACTAGTTAATAGTGATATTTTTTTTAATCTGCAACACTAATGAATTCCATTAATATGGAGAAAAATCCTTCTAGTTAGAATAGCAAGAGGCAAACCAATACAGTACATGAACAATAAAGGAGCACTTATCTACTGAGAAGCCAGCGTAGAGCTGACCACAGCCCATACAAGAAATCCCATAAATAAGTTCTGATGCTGTATATCCTTGGGCCTGTTCTGCTTACACCTCCTCTAGCCAGTGAGTCAGCCAATGCATTAGCTGGTCTATGAACCTCTACCTGAACTAGCCATTCAGGGTGGATTCTAATGCCTTTGCCTCTCCAAGGGGAAACTTGAAGGACCACGGGGCTTAATATCATTGATGGTGATATTGAGTTAACATGGTAAATACACAATAAAAGTTGACAGCCCAATACCTGCCTACCTGGAGTTGGAGGTGCCAGCTATCTTAATTAGTAATATTGGGAACTCTTGAACGATAGATGTTAGATCAGATCCTGTCTTCACCATTCTAACTACTGATTACTAACCAGAAACCTACCTATCCAGAGCAAGCAACAGTGATTGCCAGATCCTCTCTATAATATTGCTAAAGCAAGAATTCTTTCTCTGCCAGTTCCATAAATGATTTCCTCCAAAAAGAAAATCATGTTGGGTGAATTTTTCTGAGTTGTTAAATGTGTCATGTAGTTATCGTACAACAAAAGAATTGTATCTGAATATGTTAATTAGGGGCAAAAAGATGCATTGACTCTAAATCTAAAGTAACTGCATTTGTATATGAAGACTACTTCATTCCATTTTTCATTATACAACTAACTCAATTTTTTCAAAGGTTCCTCAGGCACTACCTCTTTTTTTTATCCTAGAAGATTGACAATGGCCCTATGAATGCTATTCTCTCCATATGGAAGCACCTTAATGATTTGCAAGTGGAATCAATGGTAAAAATGTTGGGGAACCAGGGGAAGTGATGATGGAATCCAAATTAGAGGGCAAGAGGACCAGTAGTTCGGATAAGTAGTGTTAACTTTCACAATCTTTTTGTTCTTCATGGTAGTATTCTCCTCTTCTTCCACTTTCACAGAATAGGTTTGGGCCTCGGGGCTGATAAACTCCACCCAAAGTGGCCTTTTTTGTTTGACCTGCAGCCGACAAAGATTTAATGTTTGACACCTTATTAGTCATAAGATATGTAGCCAAATGTGCATGTTGATGTGTTTGGAAGCAGACAGAGGATCAGTGAATTACTTTTTATTGAATTGCCGGTGTTAGGGCTGTCAGTGGATCCATATTTAGGTAGATCCGGTACCAATTCAATAAAGACCATTACCCAATGTTGGCCCCAACTATCTGGGGTCTTGGGAGGGGTGGACTGAATATGGTCCTAACTTTTGGGATTTTTTCACAACTCAAACCCACATTCTCATGTTTGACAGCCCAAGATTTTACCATTACACCAAGTAATGGCCCCTATATGGTACCAATCCACTAAGAATCCTAAAAAACAGAATTAATAAAGGCCCTATAGGTTTAACAATGGAAAATCCGGGAGTGATCTAATAAGTGCCTGGGGTTGTTAGGATTCTTATTGGATTGGTCTGGTTGATCTGATTATTGGTAGACAAGAAGAATAGTATGAAACTATGAATTGATGCAGTAACAGAAAATCAAAAATTGAAACAAATCTCCAACAATGACTTGCTGGCTGTCCTAGCAGTTAAAAAGGAGACCTGCTATCTAGCCCATTTCCTAATCATATGCCCGTATATTGGGTCTGAAGTTGGGACATAATTGGTTCTAAACTTTTAGTTACTGGATATGAATTGGACATATATTTGGGCCTCCAATAGGCATGCTGTTGTATTTACATTCATTCATGTTTAGGCAGCTTCGAGTCAAATTATGTAAAACTGTTTGTGTGTCCTGCACGCATTCCCAATTGGAAATATTTAGAAGATTTGGTTACTAGAAGAACAATCAGTAACAGCCTAACAGGTTTAATCTGGGAATGCCATTTTTTTTTGTTTCTAAATTAGGTTAGGAAATAAATGGAAGTAATAGGAAAAAATATTTGCGGTACAAGAGATCTAAGATTTAGGAAATGCTTTCTTTACTCTATAAACAGAGCATGGAGCAGATAAGAGTTTGGACGTTTTATTTCTTTTGAGTGCAGAAATTCTTTTTCTCCCTCACTAGCATATTGGTTAAAAACTAGCCCCATGATATTCCACCTACCTAGCCACTGGATTCTAATAATTGGATCAGATCTCCATTTATTTTACCATTTCAACACCATCACCATTACGTTCTCAATTTCACTTGTTCTCCTCTAACTGACCTGCTACCCCTCCATAATCCTTCACAATCACACCCCATTCATTCACTTACCTTTATTCATGGCTTCTACATCCTAACCATAGAGAAATCAGAACTGTGGCTTTTTTTCATGGAGTGGGCTGTGGGCATGTCATCATCATTTGAGCCTTGTTCAAATGATGTGGAGCAGGATAAATGAATTTTGTTTCACCATTCTGTTCTGTTCAGTGCCATTTCTATCATCAAATTATGGTTGTTTAAACATTTATTGGTTCTAAACTTTTAAGTTACTGGATATGAATTGGACATATATTTGGGTCTCCAATGGACATGCTGTTGTATTTACATTCATTTATGTTTAGGCAGCTTAGAGTCAAATTATGTACAACTGTTTGTGTGTCCTGCATTCATTCCCAGTTTGAAATATTTAGAAGATTTGATTACTAGAAGAATAATCAGTAACAGGTTTAATTTGGGGATGCCATTTTTTTTGTTTCTAAGTTAGGTTAGCAAATAAATGGAAGTAATAGGAAAAGATATTTGCCATGCAAGAGATCTAAGATTTAGGAAATGCTTTCCATACTCTATAAACAGAGCATGGAGCAGATAAGAGTTTGGATGTTTTGTTTCTTTTGAGTGCAGAAATTCTTTTTCTCCCTCACTAGCTTATTGGTTAAAAAGTAGCCCCATGATATTCCACCTACCTAGCTACTGGATTCTAATAATTGGATCAGATCTCCATTTATTTTACCATTTCAACACCATCACCATTACGTTCTCAATTTCACTTGTTCTCCTCTAACTGACCTGCTACCCCTTCATAATCCTTCACAATCACATCCCATTCATTCACTTACCTTTATTCCTGGCTTCTACATCCTAACCATAGAGGAATCAGAACTGTGGGGTTTTTTCATGGAGTGGGCATAGTTTTCAAGGAGCCAAGGCGAAGCTAGGTGACAGGGGGGCACCTTGTCGCCTAGGCGATGGATTTTTTTTAAGTAAAACCATATATCCTAGGGTAGTTCCCTAGGTTCCATAACCATCTTTCCTCAATAATTATTCATAATTTTCATAAGAAAAGTATAAATTTCATGTTTAAGTCTAGAAAATCAACATTTTATGAGAAGAAAAAGAACAAAGGAAAGAAATTTCAAAAAATATAGGGACTGAACCCCTACTTTTGTTATAGGAAAGAAGAAAAGAAAAGGTGGAAGAAGAAAATGTGTTGATTAGACAAAATTTTAAGTTCTTCCTTTGCTTATCAGTTCAGGTTTTGAAATTTTTTAGGGTTCAATCAAGGATCAAAATTTCGACACAATACACCCCCATATCGGGTGTATTGTATTGTATCTTTGGGGTCCCGATACCTGTTTACAGGTGTTTTCAGGGACCCTTTTTTTTAAATAATATATATATATATAAATATATATTTAAAAATGAAATTGAAAACCAAAGAAATAAAAAAAAATAGGGGGAGTATCGTTATAAGTACCGATACACCTCTGCCAATACACAGAGGTGTATCGATACTTTGAACCATGAGTTCAACACAGCAGTTAGCAATGTTTGTGTTGATTAAACCCTCATAAAATAAGAAAATAATAAAAAAAATAGTATATAAACACATAAAATTAATATTCTAGTTTAATAATGTTTATTTTATAATTATAATGTCAAAAAATTAAAAATATAAGTATTTTATAACCTAGTGCACAAAACTACTTGGCGACTAGGCAAGGTGAGCCTCCAAAGGCACCTTGTCGCCTAGGCGCCCACCTTGATGACTATGGGAGTGGGCTCTGGGCATGTCGTAATCATTTGAGCCTTGCCCAAATGATGTGGAGCTGGATAAATGAATCTTGTTTCACCATTCCGTTCTGTTCAGTGCCATATCTATCATCAAATTATGGTTGTTTAAATCATTTCTTACTACTTCCACCCCAAGTTCTTTTCAGTCTGCCCCTAGCTCCTCTGGCCCCTTCAACTTGTAATAGATCACTTCTTCTAACAGGTGCCATAGATGGTCTTCTATGCACATGATCAAACCATCTCAATTTACTTTTTCTCATTTTGTCACCTGTTGTAGTTATTCCAATTGTGCAGGCTTTTGACATCAGAGCTAATGAATGTTGTCCTACATATAACAACCATAGAAAACTTCTGATCTGCATTAAAGGGGTGCAAGATGTAAAGAAAATCCAGTTTGAGGTCAATGAGTCGTTGAGCCTTTGCTTTTGATTAACTGAAGAATCATCCTTAGTCCTAGCAGTCTTGGTTGGTGTACTTTAATTATAGAGAAAATTTGGATACTACTCATGTGACCTAACAGTTAGGCCTATTAATGTGGAAATCTGTAAAACATAGATAGACTTAACCTCCAATGATGATTATTTTATTTAGTATAAATCAAGATTAGTTATGTCATAAACTGCCTTTTCTTCGTTTGCTTCCTATTGCAATGATGTGGTTTAGTTTGAATTAGGATTTATTTGAAGAACTTGTAAGGTCTAGTATCTTTACAGGGTCTTCTCTGAATTAGGATTCATTTGCAATAATCACGTGCTTTTAGAATGGGTGGTTAGTTTTTGGCATTGTTTGTAGGGTGTCTTTTCTCATTATTTTCTAAAATGCAATCTTGTTGCTCTGCTGCTGATTAAAAGAAATACCGATTTAATGAGTACTGCAGGAATGCAACCGGTTCAAAGATCTAACCTTGTGAAGATGATTGGCATGGATTCCTGGTTTACCACAAGAAGAATCACTGCACGTCTATACTTGGAAGGATATGAAACAACAGGGGAGCTTCCTCTCGTGGCATTCATACCCGTGGAGCTTCTCACATTTGCAGCGTTTTACATTTGCAAAGAATTAATTTTCTTCTCTAAATAGGTAGGTGTCCTACTTGTCTCAGCCCATGTAGAAGAGGGAACTGTCAGTGGACACAAGCATGCTTTCTGTGAACATAACACTACGCTAAGCCAGCAGAACATCAAAAAGAAATGTAAATAGTGTACACCATTATATGATAAATCATATAAATGAACATCCTTGTTTATAATCATACGCAAGCAACTTCAATACATGTACCACAGGTAGGAGTGGTTTCTACTGTTTTGAAAGATTGTAGTAATTAGCAAGTAGATTGCTACGGTTCTATAAAACGCTAGCATGTTTGTTAGATTGTAGGTCACCTCTGGCCACCTTTATCTATTAGCATTGCTATGTTGCTGGAATGTCTCAAGAGATTGTTACTTTGTTAGAGCCAATTGGGAGACCAAGAGAGGAGAAGCCTCGTACTTGGTCTCAAGGAATTTCGTATTTATCAATTATTTTATCTTTTAACATGATGATGCTGTGAATTGCAGGGGGCTGGCTAATCGGTAATCACCATGATCCTACCTCCTAATTTTGTTTTAGATTTTTTTTTGTTTTGTCAGGGTCCGTTTAGTTCTCAGCTGGAATCAGAATTGGAACATGAATGGAATTGGAATCGGTATTCCCATAGCCTGTTTGGTTGCCATAGGAATTAGAATCAGAATTGAATTAGCTGGAACTGGAATGGGATCTCATTTCCAAGGGAGGGGGAGGGAATGACCATTCTCTCAAATGGGGTTATGTCATGAATGGGATTTTGATTCCAGACCCTTATTCCAGTGAACCAAGTGGGCCCTAAAACGAAACTTGAAGCAATAGTGAAACAAAACTTTGCACTCACATATTTGTACTAGTTCAAATGAAAACTGCACTCCAAACAAAGAGAACCAAAGGAGAATGATTTGTTTTACTATTTGCTAATAAAAGCATTACTTGCAAGTTGCAATAAAAACTGCCTTAAACAGAACAAAACAGAAACCTGACCACCCCTACGTTACGATTTCCTAACAACTCGACAGGAGAATTTCCACAACACAAGGGCATGTTTTCTGAAGGACACCATCATCACCCAAAGGAGAATGTATGTGTCTTGGGCGTGGAGTACCCCAGGGTAAATGAAACGATCAGATGAGCATTGACAATGTTTGAAGCTTGACATTTCAAGAGAAACTTTGGTAAATTGGTCTTTTGTAATGAGAGGTATATCTCTGATGATAACAGATAAACAAGTAATCCAAAGAATAACGGAAAGGTGTCTTTTCACATTATCAAACTTATCTGCTGAACTCACCCAGGAATTTTATGCTAGTATGCAAGTATGATTTATAAGGGTCTTACAAATAAAACTCTGCTCAAACATTTCAAATAAGACAGAAAGTGGCAGGAATGGCTGGAGATTATCCCCAAGAATATACTCGTCCCTTCTGATGTAAAGAGGGTTGGATTTATTATACCAATTGCAACTGATATTCTATAAAGGTGAAACAAAAGTTGGTACACCAGTCACTAAACCGATATAATTCCACAATGGATTCTAAACCAAGTTCTCATCAATCAGCTCATGCACTCATGAAGTAGTTCATCAACAGTATGAAATGTGTTTGTCTTCTGTGGAGCCTGAAGAATACACAATATGTAATACTAATAAGATGTGACATTATCTGCTTATACTTGGTATTGGCTTAACTTATGCATGGAAAACATGGAACAGCACCACTGTCCCTGGAAGGAATAAGCTTACTCAAGAATGAGCTCCTCAAATTTCCAACATAAATCCTCATGCAATAAAGGAGAGCTCCTCTGTATTTTAGGGAGAGAGAGAGAGAGAGAGAGAGAGAGAGAGGGAGGGAGGGAGAGCTCTACTGCACTCTGTAGGCTGTAGTAGCAATACTAAACACCTTATTTAAACACAACAAATAACAAAACAAATTTTAATGATGAAAACACAAACAAGGTTAGGACTAATCAAGAGAGCAAAACAATTTTTAATGAGGAAAACACAAAACAAGGTTAAGACTAATCAAGAGAAAATGGAGGGAAATTTTGGGGGGAGAGGTCCTACAGTATATAACATATACCTAAGATTTGATGAAAATACCTTTCAGTCAATGTGCTGAAATCACAATCAAATTTTAATGATAAAAAGAAAAAAAGATCACTGCATCATGTTGTCCACTTGAGCTCTCTCTCCAGTTGCTGTGGTTACATTGTCCCCATCAATACAGAAATCGGGATAATTACGGTGGTTTAAAGAGTGCAACCAAAGAGCAACAACCCCTTCCTTCTGTTCAGTGGATACAATATGAGAGTATATATGCTCCATTTTGAACTCCTCTGCCTCTTCCTTGTAAGTCTCCATGGATAACTCTTCATGCGAGTCTTTCCACTTATGGTTGTATGAAGTAAACAGGCACTCATCCAGATAGAGACCAACCTCAGGAGCAGTGGGCATATTGATGTTTATATCTCTGGTTAAAGTAAAATAACAAAAACAAAAAGAAAAAAGAAAGAATCAAAGAAGAAAACTTAGTTTTCAGATGAAGAAAGAAAGCTGTTTGGACAATAGATACAAAGAAATTACTTACTTCCCAAAAGCTGTGTCGATCAATGATTCAGGTGCACAATTCCTCATGACTGCCACTGCTAGTCCAATCATCTTCCGAATCTGATGAAGCATGAAGCTCTGACCCACAACCTCGCACTTGACAAAATCCATCCCTTCCACAGTAACAACCTTATTCGCGTTAAATGAAACAATGAAGCGTCTGGCAGATGGGTCTTCAGCCTTCGTTCTTGTTGTGAAATTATGGAAGTTGTGAGTTCCTTCATAATGCTTCAGAATTCTATTAAACCTCTCCTTCTCCTTGTTCCCATAGCAAAAACGACTGCCTTTTGCAGATGTCTCTTCTCCATTACTGCATCTAACCAAATTGTTTTCATTTTCCACTGAAGAAGGGTTAGGCTCTTCTATTGACTCAGATTGTGAAACAGCAGTACCATTACTTGAAGAAATGCCAACATCCTCTGCTAGTTCCGAATGGGGATAAGTAGTTCTGTTGTCTGACGAAAGTACAACACACCCCTCTGCAAGCCCATCGGGAACAGCAATACCGTCCAAGGAAGAAACCCTAGGTTCATTTGTGGTTTCAGACTGTGAAACGGTTGCAATGCCACTTTCTGAAGAAACCCTTGATTCGTCTGATGCTTTAGAATGAGAAGCATCAGTATCATTCCCGCCATTTTCTACAGTTTTTGATTCGTTATCACGTCGACCCATAACATCTGCAACCTTATGCCCCCTCTCAGAACACTCCGAACACCTAACGAGTTCGTTTTCGGAACCCAAGCTAGCCAATACACTCTCTCCGTCACGATGAGAACTTGGATCAAGAGCGAAGACCGGAATTAGATAAACATACCTCCTGCGATCGCAGAACTTCTTCGCGTTGAATGAAGCCGTCACACGCTTGAATCCGAAAATTCTGATCTGAGAGGGAAGATTGGAATTGAGACGATCGACGAGGCCGGGAGGGTCGATATAGAACCGGCCGGAGACGACCTGGCCGACGGCGCTGACGCCTTTATCGGTGCGAGCGGAGCGAGACCAGTCGAAGCGCCTGGAATTGCCGCGGTCGGGCTCGGGAATAGCACCGGAGAGGTAGAGGGCTTCTTCAAGATCGGCTTCGATGGTTTTGGCACCAGGGTTCTTCTGCATGCCTTGATAACCAACACCGCAGTAGGCGAAGAAGATGGCAATCTTGCGCCGCTTGTATCTTGGCTTCCTCTCGGTTGAAGTGAGCTTGGGTTCGATTTCTTCATCGTCGGAGTTGGTGGTGGTGGTGGACATTTTGAGCTTCTTGGGTTCGGGCTGCTGTGGAGGAGATGGGGGGGAATCCATGCTTATTAGAAGTTATTACTGTGGTTGTTACTCTTGCTTGGCACTTGGTTTGATCGTATTTCCCGTATCAAGTAGAAGAGAGTCGCTATAAGCAGAGCAACCGCACTTGGATGTTTTGGACTCCGGAGTGTCTTTTGGAGGTTGGACCCAGAAAGGAAACCATGGAAGGGAAGAAAAATACAAGTGACCAGACCGCTGCAACGACTCTGATCTTCTACAACCCTAACGAAGGAATACTTCCAGCCAGTTTCTCAGACGGAGAATAACCTCTGAGGCCTTAGCGGGCCGATACGGTACGAGTTTGCGGATGGACCCTGCTGTGCCGGAACGTGGGCGTGATGGATGGTGCCTCAGTGCCTGTCTAGCTCGAAACCCCTAAAATGTAAAAGGTCAGTCTTGTATTAACCATGACATGAGTCCAGGTGAGCCCATGTAGGATCGGGCCATGCCTCTGGGCTGGGTCAGGCCTTTTTTTATCTTTTCTATTATTTTTTTCGTTTTTTTTTTTGTCAAGTAAAGATAATACAAATTTTGAGAAAATAAGCATTTAACAAATACAAAATAAACAACAAATTGAAAAGAAAATTTTAAAATTTTTATCTCATTTGAACTTAATGAATATAGAATAATAAAACAAATTAAAAAAATACAATGGAATTGGAATGAAATATAAAAAATAATATAATAAAATTGTAAATAAAAAGTTGTAGTGGTATATTGACAAAATCACAAATAAGTGTAAATTTTTAGATAAAATTTACAATAAATTAAAAAATGTTGTACAATTAGTTGGCTTTGACAACCCTTAATCTTTGCGAAAAGGCCAATTTCAACCCTAAAGAATTTAAAGGCTTAAAATAAGTTGTAAAGGCCAATGTTAGCCAAAAAGACACAGTATTAGTGATGTTGTTTACAAATCCATTAAATAATGAATAAAATATTAAAATATGCTGATATGGCACTATTCAACTCAAAAAATAGAAAAATTACAAGTGGGGTTCCACTAAAATCTCGTACCAACAATAAAATAAAAACTATTTAATGTATAAATTAATAAATATTGAAAATAATATACAAGTGGGATCCCACTAAAATATATCATATTAAATCTCACACCAAGAATAAGATAAAACTATTTAATAAATAAATTAATAAATATTGAAAATAATATATAAATGGGTTCCACATAAGATTATAAATGGGTCACACTTGAAATTTACTTTTTTAAGAGAAAAATAATAGGTAGGTTCCACTTGAAATATCCTCTTTTAAGAGAAAAATAATAATTGAATCTTAATTGAAATTTCCTCAAAAAATAATAGGTGGATCCCACTTAAAATTCCCCTTCTCCAATGAAAATGAAACTGATTTGGCTTAATCAAGCACTAACACAAACGACCGATCGAACACAGTGAACTCGTTTGCTAAAGTGGTATAAATTGGCAATAGTGAAGCCTTAAAGCAGTTTTTTTTTTCGTTTCAGTTTATTGAGTAGTTATTCGACCCAAAAAACTGCTCCGAAATTGCTTGAAACAAGTGGTCGGGATTGGAGTCGACGAAAAGGGCATCATCAGTAACAAAAATCTTCTTTTAATCAGGGTCAAAAATTGAAACCCGATTCGACTCTTTACTAGTCAAACCATAGATTTCCAATTGGGAAGATTTCAGTCAACCTAGAACATGATCTAATGCTGCACGATCTGGGCACTCTTAGTTGACTGCGGCTTGGCTCCTAGCAGGGGCGAACGACACCTGAGAGGAAGAAGAAGATGAGGGGTTACCGAGGAGCTCTCCCGGTGGGAACACTCCGATGGCTAAATTAGAACCCTGGAGAAATCTCAAAGGAAAAAGCTAAGAGTAGGAGTGCTGAAAATGTTAGCTTCAATACCTTTACTTCATGAGGGCCGAGGTCCTTTTATACCAGAGCCTGGTCACATCAGGCGTAACCGCCACTGCCCTAGCCGTTACCGCCAGGGCAGGGGTGGCAGGTGTAGGCTGTTGCTACAGGCTGCTACTGCAGGGTACGGACTCGTCAGGCATGCCATGCCTTTCAGAGACGACAAGCAAAACGCCACCTAGCAAGGGATCCAAACACTGCCACCGGATTTCAACAGGTACGGATGTCAGGCAGGCACGAATGTTAGGCAGATCTCCCTGCAGTCTGCCAAGCTACTATGCACCGAACCACCTAGGAGAGGTTTGCCTTGCACCGAGGTGTCGAGGTACACTGAGGTGCCCGCACTGGAGGCGAGCCTTAAGCAAGTACGAACAGGAGTCGCGATGGTGCTGTCCCAAGGTGTTTTCTCCCTCGAGACACTTAGCCAAAAGTTGGGGTGCTTCCTTCTTAGGAAGGGAGAGCTCGGAGTCCCTTAGGAGGAGCTCGGGTCCT